TTCCTGAAATTTTGCTGTTGACTGTCAACAAAATTAAATTTAATGTCGGTAAAGTTAAAAACTTGATAATGTTATGGGAACAGTATAATTTTTCATCATTGAGCACTTGAAATCATTAACCTCTTTTCCGTGTTCATTCACTTTAGATGCATTAATTATGCTTCGTTGCTTCGTAGCTATAAACAGAGGTAATTCTCTAAATTATCAAAAACTTTATCTTCTATAACATTACTTCGTCAACCAAACCACGGCATTCATATTTCCTAACACAATTAAAGTATTATTGTTGATTCGTAAAGGGCAGGATTTCACGCCAAAAAATTCTGGAAAATGTTAAATAACTGGAGCAGATGGCATAAGTGCATGTTTATATATACTCAATACACGCTACTGCACGCTGGAGGAAACAGCTTTGGCCAGCAGTTACAAGTGAAACTTTGAGAAAAACACAACTCTATTGTTCGTCATACTCGTACGAATCTTAACTTTTCTCTGTTTGTTTAAGGTGTATTTCTGCAGTTGCCTTATTGTGTGTGTTTTTTAATCAAAGACGTGAAGACAATAAAAGAACAAAAGGTAAGATGCAATAAATTTCATGGGGAGAGGTTATCATATTCATAATTTAATTCAGAAATTTATGTATTGATATGTTGCAATCCGTGATCACAACTTTAAATTCTTTAATTCTAACAATAAAAGAAGAAAAGGTAAGATGCAATAAATTTCATGGGGAGAGGTTATCATATTCATAATTTAATTCATAAATTTATATATTCATATGTTGCAATCCGTGATCACAACTTTAAATTCTTTAATTCTAACAATAAAAGAACAAAAGGTAACATGTAATAAATTTCATTGGCTACAGTTGATGGTAAAACGAATGATTGTTTATCCTCGTTGCTTGCTAACAGTTAATCCTTTAAGTCCCAAGTTTATTTTAGAGAAAAAATGAAATAGCGAACAATAAAAAAATAAATTTATGGCAAAAGACTACATTTACTAAACTACATACAAATCATATATAAATTTAAAGCTAATATAATGAAGAATATAATTGTAGTGTTCAAACTAGGATGGAATTCGTTTCCATGACAACACAAGGTGTAAATTACCGAAGTGATAATATGTTTAATTCTCAGCAATTACTTATTCTTCGAAGTCTCTTTCTATCATATGTTTTTGCACAAATCTCTCAGCTACATCTTCCACTGTATTTTAAATGGTGAAATATTTGAAAGAAATCCACTTGCAATTTTCAATTCAGATAAAATAGTCACTGTCAGCATGTAAAAAGTTGCATAATATTTCCACGATTTGCTATAATATTTCTGTGAATTTTTATAAAAATATTTATCGTAAATAATCTCATTAAAACGTTAAAACCCGGACCTCCTTAGCTGCTCTTATTATCGATTTTTGATTATTTTGTGAGCTCTTCTTCTCCAATAGAAAAAAGCTCCGCAGTGCCTGTAGTATAAACATCTAGCGCAATCTTTAGCACTATTTCTTGATCATTATCTTTTGAAATTTTTAATTTTTTTTAATTTCTCTACTGTAACTTTTTGAATTTATTTTTATATTCAGAGAGAGAATTTTTACATCGTACAAGGACCGTAATTGTATCTATAGTATTTGATCTGCATCGATTTAGTTTGCTTTGGTCTCACTTTCTTCACTCTCTTAGCGCCATCTAATTAACAGCCTTTTTTCATTGTTCAATACATCTCTTGAAAAACGAGAAGTTGAACTATAGACCAAACAGTAAGAAGGATAAAGTATTAATTAAAAGATAACCAAGTAAAAACTTTATTTCCACTTACCACTATAAAAGCTACATTGTATTTAAAAAAGTCGCTATACCATTGATATAGCCGTGAGCCATATGAAATTAACTTAATCCATTTCTCAACAATTTTTCTAACTACCCAATTTTGCTGAACTGGATTTTTTACATAATGGTCGTATACTGTCCGTAAGTACGTTTTGATCGTAGGCTACTTGCATTACAGAAGTACTTGTGACGATGTCGTCGTCGTTCTAAATATAAATTTAAAGCTTTCTGTGATATCTCATGTACACAAGGGATATACACTCATCCAACAATCGATTTCATAAAATAAAAACAATAAAACTGATGAGGTGATTGGTCTATAGCCATATTTGCATTAGCCAGTGCAAAACAGATCTGAGCTGAACCAATCAAATCAATCAAAACAATTAGTCAAAGAGAATTTCTTGTCGATCATGGATACATTTTTTAAGGTAAAATTAAAACATTTGTTTTACACTTGTCTGTTTTGCATTGTTGTAACTTCATAAAAGAAATAAAAGATATTTTTCGTGTTTCCACTGGCTTATGAAAACCTCGGAGACGGTGCAACCCTCGACCTTCAGTAACGGGCTTGAACTGATCTGCTCTCGAGTTCTTCCAAATGTCTCCTCGGTTTTCATGATCCTGTGAAAACAAAGTAAACATCTTTTATTTCTTAAATAGTTCACAACTTTACTGTATATTCGTAGAACTAAGCAATGATGACTTTAATGATGTGGTGGTTAATGTGGCTGTCATTTCGTCAAGGATTCGCCATGAAAATTGGTTGGAATGAAAAACTTGAGTTTGGTGAGAAAAAATGGAAGAAATTTGTCGCGGACAAAATTAAAATCGATTCGAAATGCGACAATACTGAAACACGTTGTTGTGTTGAAGAGAAGAAATATCTTTTGGAGAGATTTAAAATGTTTAGTGAAGTTTGTCCTCTTGAAGGTAAAGTAAATATCCGTTTCACTGTGCAGAGCATTAACAGGCTTTGTACTTTGCAAACAATCCCAAACAAACTTCATTTAAAAAGCGGCAAATGGCTCCATGTTCTTCGCAAGTTGGTCAAAGTGGGGTTTATATCTTTTGAACATGTCAAATGACTCAACTGATTTGGATACACTAGCTTCAATGCATTAACACAGCATAATCTCTCGTTCATTGTTCATCTGTTTAATTACATCGTACAGCAAAGCAATATGACAGTACACCCAAAACCAGTAACACGTGCAGTAATATAAAATGATCTGTAGTTCTTTCTATTTAGGTTTAACGAAGACTGTCCATTCAATGCAAATAATTTGAGATGTTTTGTTGCAAAATGAGGGACACTTTCTACTTGTTCTTTTTCTTTAAACAACCAGTTAAAAATAACTTAATTTTTTTAGGGACATGTGGATGTGGCCCAATTTTTGGCCATGAAATTCTTCACACATTTATAAAAGTAAATAGTATGGAATGAAGACACTGAACTGGATTACTTGTGACTTTAATTTTTATATACAGATATACAACCATTGTAATTATACAAAAAATCACTCTACACAAAGATTGGAACACATAATGACTTAAGTTTCAAGTTTCTATTCTGCTTATAAGAATTACTATGAAACGATCAAACATTCAATTCAGACAGTGAGCTTGACTCTGTTAGTTCAGTTGGCTATCAGTCGGAATCCAATCACAATAAAACAAAAATTCAAATGAACCAATTGTAAGATAGCAATTGAACTCCATTATACGTCCGGCCACCCCTCTAATAGTCGAGACCATTCCAGACTGTCCACTGATCTGGCCATTGACCAATAAAATAAGCGTTTTTGGCGGGGTGTAGATAAAAAGCGGGCGCGGACGACGGACGCGGACGGCGGACGCAGATGTAAGACGAACGTCTGCTTGTTGCGGGTGGGAATTGCAAATGATTTATTGTAGGAGTTTGACAGTAATTTAAAGGGTGTAGATGAAAAGCGGACGCGGACGCAAAACGCGCAAACAAACAGTGGAAACAGTTTCGTGCAGCTCTGTTTTTTATGATTGTACGATGATATTTACAGCTAAATTTTGAAAGACTTAATTATGCAGAAATGAACAGGCAATGAACCCAAAATATGTGAAGAGTTTGAAATTGTATATTTAATGTTATACGTTCATCTTCTTCGACATAATTTACTTGAAACTTAATTTTGAGGTGAACTTTTTGCTTGCACAGCATTTAAGTTAAACTTAAAAAAAAGAGATTAGCAGAATAAATAATTTTTGTTAATACCTAAACTATATGACAACACCAAAATAGATTCTCTTGTCTACAAAATTATGCCGAATTCCCGAAGGAATATCTCATGCTCATTCTTCAATCTAAGTTTAATACGATAAGGCACATGCACAAGTGTTGGAGCAAAATGGGATTGTTTACTTCTTATGCAGCCTGTGTTAACATGGTAATAGACGTTTCCTGGACGTTGTTTTAGCGTTCCTTCGTTATCATAATATCCTCTCAATGTGTTTGATACAATTACTAAATCATAAGGAGAATTTCTTATGAAACCACCTGGTTTAAGTTGCTGAATGCATCCATAGCATATTTTGACTTGAGGTGGACAATACTGCAGTAAATACAGAAGATACGACCCATAAATTGGGTTAGGATATCCGGGTACATTTGTGTAGAATGGTGTGAGTGGGTCTCCCATTCCACAATTCTTTCGAACTTCTGTCAGCATACTTTCTGCGATCATTTGCGTCTATTAGAAAATTTATTTAGATACATTTAGTTGAAATGTAAATTTAACAAGAATACACTGTTCAATCACTATAGACACAAAGGTTTCTTGAGAAGGAAACTTATGGAATATATTGTACAAAATTATATTTTTTAGGATACAGCTACCTTTTCATATATAAATTTGAAGAAATATGGCTCTTGATTTGCACCCAAAAAAGAACGTTTTATCCCATATCTCTTTCAGCGCATTGAGATTGGAGAGAAATTCACTTTCATCGACGGAGTCTAGTAAGCCTAAAAGATAACGTAAAATGCGCAATGTTATAACAAATGGCAGTTTACTAATAGGTTTTGGCAAGCATACCCTTCACATAAATTTCCCCTGATTTTCTTCCAAATACGTCATCAAGAAAAGTATTTTGTGCTGTATCCGACACATTTGATTTTCTTAGTTGTAATTTACAGTTTTCGCGGAAGTGCCCAAAGCATCGTAAGTGAATTGCATAGCACATACTGTTCATCATCGCGCTGATCAAAGCCTCTTCCCCATCTGTCCCAATGGCAAGAACGTTTTTTTATGTTTTTATTAAGGGAAGTCAATTTCCCAAAGAAGTAATAATACAATTCGGTTGTTTTGGTTTGGCTAATTAGAAGAGGTCCTATTATTAAAGGATGATGACCTTCTCTTCTTGTTACAACTTTCAAATTGCGATACGTCGTAACAGTTAAATTGAAGTTTCCTAGATTGAATGTGGGATCTGCAGAAAATATTAAAAAGTTTTGAGGATCAGTGCAGAATTGCTCGATCTCATTAAGTTGCCAATCGTAACACAGAACACATCTGAGTTCAGGAGCAGCTGATACGTCACGAATAAAGGGATCTTTTCCTTGGCTTTTTTGCTGCCTCTTGCACTCCAGGAGAAGAACAGCAAGAGAGTCAACTTTTTTAATACTCGTGATTTGCTTTGTTTTGGCTCGGCAATTTTTGGCTTGCGTTCTGTTTCTGGGAAGGTCACTTGCTGCACTGGCACCTAAGTAACCACCACTTTCTTCGCTCACACGATGATAGGTTCCTCTAGGTCCAGATGTTTCAGCAACTTCTTTTACTCTTTTTAATATGCTTGGTTTTGTGCGAATATATCCACCTGCTTGTTTCTGCCGGGAGTTACCATGAGGACTGGGCGTAATTTCGTGTTCTTCTCCATCGAAGATATACTGAACCATTAATAATGCTTTATTTTCTATATGTGGGTTGCAACAAAGGAAGTGAGCATTTACAAGCAACATAAATAAAAGATTACAATCTAAGTTCTGTCTTCAATGAAGAATTAAAATTGGTCATGGTCAAAAATCAATGCCAGTAAAATGATTGTGTCCAAAACGTTTAAAAATGCCTGTACCTTCTAGATATGCCACGTACTTCTTGATGTCAGGAGATGTCTTGCTTTTGTAATACATTCTCACCAATGTATAGAAACCTTCATTTTTCTTGGTTTTACATTGACCTACTTCGCTTATCCTTCCCTCAGAAATACAAAATCGAGTCTTTTTCACCCCATTGTTTTTCCAAGCACCCATATCGTCACATTTCCAATCATCCCATTCTTTAAATTCAGAGGCGTCAATCAAGAATGTAACGTTATTTGATACATTGGTGGGTGTAATCTTACATACTCGCTCAGGAGGATGGGGTACAAGTAAAACTTTGACTCTCTCTTCTGGCGAGAGGCCTTCTTTACCACTCTTAAATTGCGGAAGTGATAGATTTTCCTTGTAGTATCCATCAAAAACTCTATACAAATAGTAGGGAAAAAAGCGTAAGAGCATTGAGAAACGTAGGTATTCAAGCAGATTCATTCACACCCTTCATCACTTTCGCTCATTGAACTTCTGTCACTGAAATCTTCGTCATGGACACAAACGACAGCCTCTTCGGAAACGTCCTGTTTAAAATGTAAAAAATATCAAATTTCAGTTTGTACAGCTACGAGTCATAAAAGGCAACAATACATGAAAAGACACAATCATGGGTCAGGAAAGGACAATTTTTCTTGTCAAACCCACCATGTACGTAGCTTATAAATTTTGCTTTTCCAATTTTAAAAAAAGTCAATCTTATATGACTCAAATCATACGATAAAGAAAATATGTATTAATTGAAACCATAAGTAAGTAAAAGCTTTGCATGCACTTATGCAAAGAATGTCCTACAGATAATTTCCTTTTTAAAGATAAGATAAGAATATTTGTTGAGGTCCCACTTCTCTGGTGGTCCACATTTCTTTAACACAATTCTTTTTAACTTTAATTCACTGAGGTAATTCTATGTGCTAGAAATAATTACATGCATCCTTTGATACGAACGGTAGTTATACTGCAAAACATGAGTCAATCCTTCTTTTATAGATGAATCACTAGCGTTATAGTTTCTCACGCATTGCAAAAAGAAAGATTCAATCAAATAAATAAAGAACTTGTATTTAGCTCTTTAGAAATAGTAACGGAAAACTAACCTAGCGACGATATTTCTATTGCTATGACTGAAAGAATGCAGTGTAACAGAATTTTAAATTTGACACGGAAATTACGACGGAAAATATCATAAAGGCTTTTTGAATGCGTTTGCCTAATATTCATCAAAAGATGTCATATAGCTACAGCAAACATGAAAAACACATCGTCTGCACTCGGAAAATACTCAAACTACCATATTTGAAAAACATGCTTTTCGTCATTTTAAAGTTGTTGTGCTTCTTACCTCAGTTTTGACTTGTCGGCTAGAGCCTGCGTCAGATTTCTGCCGTTTGTCAATATGTTCTTGTATTCGGCTCATGTCAACCGAAGTCTGTATTAAAAACGAAACGAAATTGAAAAAAAATGAAAATTAGATAGCAGTCGGAGAAGCTAAGACAATGATCTTTCACATTTTGATCCACCTGAAATAGACTGTCGTCACTATCATCGCTCAAAATCACAATTTCTTCCGTTGGATGATTCCTTTCAGCTAATTTTTTATATTTCACTTTAGTCTATAAATATGTCACAAAATATACACAGACTGAAATATACACAGACTTTGTTTGTCTGACACATTGCCTTTGCAAGGTTTGTTCTTTAAAATGAAAAAAATACAAATAAAAATCTTTTAATGTATTTTCTTACTAAATATCGTTGCTCCTATATTAAATTTAGGTACCTGTGCACGACATCCTATTTCATCTTCGCTGGAATTAGTCGATTCATAACCAATTTTTACAATGTCCGAGTACAAACGTTTGGACATGATGTACAATCGATATGATTAAAGTATACTTTCAAGCTGTAACTGACGCACTGACTAACTTGCAACTGCTTCTAACCTCAGCTTTCAAAAGGAAGTTCAAGTTGAAAACTGCAATATACGTACTGCTTGCCAAATGACAAATTGACGGAAATTATTATCAGTACAGTAAAGATGCAAGGCTCACCCACGTAAGGCCAACATGAGTTAAATGCCATTGACAAAACACGAAAAAAATACAATGAGGTTTCATTGCGTTACACTCTATATGACTGACTGAAATTGAAATATGCATGTTTAATTGCTTTAAATAATGAGGTCAAAAAATATATCCTGAAAGATAAAGCTCGTTTAAATTACTGTCAAACTCCTACATTAAATCATTTGCAATTCCCGCCCGCAACAAACAGACGTTCGTCTTACATCTGCGTCCGCCGTCGGCGCCCGCTTTTTATCTACACCCTTTTTGGCGTTCATAGACTCCTTTCTCCGTTGAGCCAGTCAAGCCACCCGGCTTATCAGTCGGTTATTCCAGGTCAATTAAAATTCAACTGATCTGGTTACCAACGAGATATTCATTGGATTAGTCATCAGTTTTCAATAATAAATAAAGCTGGATTTTTATCACGAAGTAAATGCGATAATGCGATTACTATGAATAGGTTATTTTTGAATTTCAAACATCAGTCGCGCAACGGATTTGACATACTCTAGATCCGCCCCTGTCTGTGATAACAAAAGATCCTGAGGCAACCATGTTATTACATATGCTGTTAATGACATAATGTGGGCAATGACCATATATAGTCTCTGATTAATAACAATTCAAAATGACGGTCTATTACAGGTAATTTTACAAACAAATCTAAACAAATTTCGAAAAGCAAACAGCAAAAAATTTGAAAACAAAAAGAAAACAGGAGTGAATGCCAACTTTTACAAAACAGCGAGAACAAAAAAGTAAAGAAAGCTTCGTTTCAGTTTAAATAATCCTTTATAATAAAACTTTTATTAACTTCGTTTATTCGCTCTTCGAGCGTGCGAGGTCTGCACATAAAGAATTAAATGATCCGATATTTCTCTTTAAAGACTTCACAATTAATAAAGGTCTTATAATACAACTAATTTTAATGTGGTATTTCGAAATTTATGTGTTTCTACATGTTTTCTGTGCACATCTTCACATCAAAACGTAAACTTAAGGACAACACTTAAGAGCTAACTAACACAGCTATATTACAAAAAAAATTGTAAAAATTGCCTAAATTAAAATCATCATATCTAGTTTTAGTATAGTTTGATATAATATCTCACAAATTGGCCATCCAATGCATAAAATAAAACTTTGTCATAAATATAAATTATAATTTATATTGAAATTATGTTGTTTTTGATTCTTTATGCTGAACCCAATCGCTTGAACATTATTTAAGAAGTAAGTCATTATTCCATGAGGCATTGTTTTTCTTGTCATTTCTCACTGTATTTGCGCAGCTGTCGTATGGTATACATCGCTTAAACAAACACCAGTAGGCAATAAAAATACAGTTGGTTTTACGTAGTAAAGTTTACTGTATTTTTCGGTCCTAAACAATTTGTTGTATTTAGGACCTAAAGATTTGCTAATGACTGTCAGCAAACTTGAATTTACTGTTGGTAAAGTTGATAGTCAAAAACTTAAAATACGCTTTATATGCAAACAATATAATTTTTCGTCATTGAGCACTTGAAGTCATTAACCTGTTTTGCCGTGTTTGCCCACTTTAGATGCATTATTTGTGCTTTGTGCTTCGTAGCTATAAACAGAGGTAATTCTCTAAAATGTCAAAAACTTTATCTTCTATAACATTGCTTCTTCAACCAACAACAGCATCCAAATTTCCAAACATTTAAAGTATTATTGTTGATTTGTAAAGGATAAGATTTGACGCAAAACAAATTCTATAAAATTTTGAATAACTGGGGCAGATGGCATGAGTGTTTGTATATACTCAATATGGCACTGTATATTTGAGGAAGCCGACAGCCTTGGCCAGCACTTGCAAGTAAAACCTCGCGAAAGCCACAACTCTATTGTTCGTCTGACTTGAACGTATCTTAATTTTTCTCTGTTTGTTTGAGGTGTATTTCTGCAGTCGCCTTATTGTGTCCGCTTTTCAATTACTAAAAGAACAAAGGTAAGTTGTGATGTAGTTGATAGTAAAACAGAAGTTTCTTTATCGTCGATGCTATGTTAAAATTTAATACTGCAAATTATTTCTTCGACTGAGTTTGGCAAATAAGTGTTAATACAAACGCCGCACAACTTCCGCCTCAAATGATTCGATTCTTATAGAAAATGGAGAGATTTTTTCATTTACCACAATACCTCCATGCTTGATGTAGGATTCGGGACAGATTATCATATTCATATCTTGATTCATATATTTATATATTATTACATTTTTCGTTCAAATCTCTCAGCTACATCCAAAACAAACCCTATTCCACTGTTCTGTAAATAATTTTTTCTTTAGCAGAACCTGCGAAAAATTAAAAAGAAAACTTCTTAAGATTTTCAATTCTTATTGTCAGCAAGTACTCCACAAATAAATGCAAACAAAAGAATAACGACAAGCTTAAAAAAATGTAAAAAGTTTCAAAATATTTCCACGATTTTCTGTGATAGTTCTGTAAATTTAAAAAAGAATTTGAGCAATCTCAAGATAACGCTGAAACCCAAAACAACTTAGCTGCAATTAATATCGACGTTCGCTAATTTTGCAAGCTCTTCCTCCTCAATAGAAAAAAAGCTCCGCGGTGCATGTAATGTAAATATCTAACACCTTTTCAACAATATTTTTTGGTCATTATTTTTTGAAATTTTTAATTTATTTAGTTAATTTTTCAACTGTAGCTTATTGAATTTGTCAACTGAGCAATTTAGCAGTTTTATAGCTGCTAATGTGTTTAATTCGATGAATTAAAAAATTCAAATGAAAATCCAATACGGGTATAGCTATAGAGACAATACGGGCATAGCTATACAACTATAGAGGCTAGGTTACAAGAAATTTTAAAGTACTTTATGATTTCATAGGTTTTTTACATGTATCATGACATAACGGGAAATTGAAATGAAATAGCTAATGGGAAGCTCTGCATGCAAAATTGTTGTTCTTTCTGTTTTTATGTTTTTCATATCCAGAGAAAGAATTTTAACATCATCCAGGGTTCTTAATCTATTGAATTTAAAATAAATGATTTTCATTGAATTTAATTTGATCTCGCTTTCTTTGCTTCCTTAGCGCTATTTAATAGAAATAACTTTTTTCATCGTTCAATAAATCTCTTGAAACACAAGAAGTTGAAATTTAGACTGAACCGAGTAAGAAGAATAAAGCATAAATTAAAAGGCAACCAAGTTTCATTATTTTAAAAAAACTATAACCACGTACTTTAATAATAGCTACCATGGCTACCATCGAGAGAGCCATCATGAAGCCACATGAGACTAACTCAATCCATTTCTGAACAGTTTTCTCGCTACACAATTTTGCTGAAATTAATTTTTTAGCTGATGTTCAAATTGCTCAAAAATGCGTTTTGATCGTTGTCGATCTAAATATAAGTTTAAAGTCTTCTGTGATAACGTACATACATCCAACAATCAATTAAAATTTAGAACTTTACTGTATATCCTTGGATCTAAGCA